GGCTGGCAGCTGGTGTGTGCTTTCGTGTGCTGCTGTGAGTTGCCGTGAGCGGCTGTCCAATGACTAGTGAGCGACTGCCTCACCCGGGAAGAGCGCAATGATAATACCAACATGGGCCAGTGAAGCGACGTCCTCCACAACTAGACTGAAGAACAAAAGGACAGCAACTTGTCTGTTCCCCTCCCCCGATTCCCCAATAAAAATCTTTTAAAAATAAAAAATAAATAATACACACCAGAACGGCCCAGCTTAAAAAGACTGACCAGACCAAATGCTGGTAAACACATGCATTGACCAGAACTCCCCCACCTGTCGATGGGAGTGCAAAATGGTACTGCCACCTAGGGTAAATCTCAGGTATTTCGTACAGCACATAAGCCAGCAATTCTATTCCTAGGTATTTACTTAAGAGAAATGAAAACATATGTCCATAAAAAATTCATCACATCTGATTCATAATAGTCAAAAGATACACTCTGCTCACGTGTCCATCAACAGAATAGATAAACCAACTGGTGCAGTCATAGAATGGAACACTATTCAGCAACAAAAAGCAGCAGCCTGATACATGTACAACATGGATAAATCTCAAAGATAATGCTAAGTGAAGGAAGCCAGGCTTAAGTGCCTATGTGCAATAGGATTTCATTTCCATAACATTCTAAAACACATATAACTAGTCCATGGCAGAAAAACATCAGAACGGTGGTTACCTGAGGAGGGGGGGATTTGACTAGGAAGTTACATTAATAGGAATGTTATGTGCCTGGATAGGGGTTTGGATTGCAGAGGTTTCTGCATTTGTAGGAACTTATTAATTGAATACTTAAGATTTATGCATTTCATTGTCTATAAGGTTTAACTCAAAAAGAAGAAACAAGAATAGTACACAGATCTCTTCCATTGATGAGCAAATAACAACCAAGGTTCAACTATAAGAGGAGGGCACACACAAGCCACACAAGGGACACACCTGGAGTGCATGGCACAAGTGACCAGGAAGACTGCACCACTGAGCCCTACAGGACACCTACTACATAAGGCCACTCTACTAAGACCGGAAGACATAGCAGCCCTACCTAACACATAGAAAAAACATAGGGAGGCAGCCAAAATGAAGAGACAAAGGAACATTTCCCAAATTAAAAGAATAGAACAGAGCTCCAGAAAAAGAACTACACAAAATTTAGACAAGTAATCTACCAGACACAGAGTTCCAAACGCTGGTTATAAGGATGCTCAATGGTCTCAGGGAGAACTTCAACAAAGAGATAGGAAGCATAAAAATGGAGACAGAAAACATAATTAAGAACCATTCAGAAATAAATAATACAAAAATGGAAATGAAGACTACAGGGAATCAACAGCTTAAATGAAGTAGAGGATCAAACTAGCAATTTAGAAGATATGATAACAGAAAACACCTAATCAGAATAGCAAGGAGAAAAAAAAACCCCAAAAACTGAGGCAAGTTTAAGGGGCCTCTGGGACAACCTCAAGTGTACCAACATTCACATTAGAGGGGTACCAGAAGGAGAAGAGAAACAGCAAGGAATTGAACACCTATTTGAAGATATAATGACTAGAAACTTCCCTAATCTGTTAAAGGAAATAGACATAGAAGCCCAGGAAGTGCAGAGCGTCCCAAACAAGATGAACCCAAAGAGGCTAACACCAAGACATATCACAATCAAAATGCCAAAGGTTAAAGATAGAGAATCTTAAAAGCAGCAAGAGAAAAGCAGTTAGTTACCTACAAGAGAGCCCCCATAAGATTATCAGCTGATTTCTCAACAGAATCTTTACAGGCCAGAAGGGATAGGCAGGAAATATTCAAAAGTAATGAAAAGCATGGACATACAACCAAGACTACTCTACCCAGAAAAGTGGATAAAGAAGAGGTGGCACATATATAGAATGGAATATTACTCAGCTGTAAAAAAGCAGGAAATCTTGCCATCTGTGAGAACATGGATGAACCTAGAGGGTACTGTGCTGAGTGTAGTAAGTCAGATAGCGAAAGAGGAATGCCATATGATTTCACTTATAAGTGGAATCTAAAGAACAAAATGAACAAACAAATGAAATAGAAACAAAGTCAAAGATACAGAGAATATTTGATGGTTGCCAGATGGGAGTGGGGTTGTGGATAGGTGAAAAGGGGAAGGGATCAAGAAGTACAAATTGGTTGTTACACATAAGTCATGGGGATGTAAAGTAAAGCATAGGGAATGTAGTCATAATATGGCAATAGCTATGTATAGTGCCAGATGGGTACCAGTCAGGGGGATCACTTCTTAAATTATATAAATGTCTAACCACTATGCTGTACATTTAAACTAATATAAAATAATATTGACTTTGAGTGAAAAATTAAAAAGCAGGGAAAAGACAAAACAAGAATAAGAGGTTCAAAGTTCTCGATATAAAATAAATAAGTCATGAGGATGTAATATACAGCATAGGGAATATAGTTAATAATATTGTGATAAGGTGATAAATTGTCAGATGGCTGCTGGACTTATCATGGTGATAATTTCTTTAGCATAGGGAATATAATCAACAATATGGTAATAACTATGTATAGTGCTAGTTGGGTACTGTTGAATAACTATGATGTATACCTAAAACTAATATAATATTGTATGTTAACTATATTTTAATAAAAACCTTAAAAAAAAGAATAGTACACAGATACTGAACTCATGTTAATGATTCCAATGCTGAAAAATTTTAGGATAAGTGTACAAATATCTGCAACTTGTGAAAGGATAAAAAATTAAGATGGATTGATGGATGGAGATGAATGAAAAGATAAGCAATAAAGCTAGCACAGTATAATGTAAATGGTAGGCTGGCTGGTAGGTGTATGGATTGGATGATCAGTATAAAATTCTTTCTACTTTTCCATATGTTTGAAATTTTTCACAATAAATGTTAAGAAAAAAGGATATGTTAAAACATGAAGAAAGTGGTCCTTGATATTTAATTTAGATATTAATTTTTCCCAAATTTATCTAAAAATTCATTGCAACTCCAATCAAAATACCATCAGAATTTTTCAAGGAAATTAGGGTGTTCTTTAACAAGACACATGAAAACTGACATAATTATTGATAAATGACAGAAGCATTTAAGTTTCTATGTGATCAATAAGACAAATAATTATTCAAAATCATTAAGAAACAACGAAAGGACAATGGGCAAGGACTACAAAGAGACAGCTGACAAAGAAGAACCACGAGGCCAGAACACATCTGTCCTCGAGCAAGCCTCGGTGACGGAGAAGGGAGGATTGAGCCCTCAACACCAATCTTCACCCTGCTGAGTCACAAAATGAACAGGTTTGGATATCATGTTGGAGAGAAGGAGAAACGGGCTCTCTCCTGTGTGACAGGGATGCGACCTGTGCACACCACGTGGTGGGACTGCTTACACACAGGTGCCCTCCTCTTCAAAATGCCCCCTAGAGAAAATGTCCACCAGTCTCGGGACACAAACAGGGAGACCATTGTGTGTGTGGAAACAGACATTCCTGTCACTGCAGGGAGAGTCACGCACTCAGTGGACAGAGAGGCAGAAAGACTATCGGGAAAATTTGCAAGACACTGATGCAGGTCATTACACATGCCAAGTATAATGTCTTCTATGTAAACAAGTGGATAGAAATGAGATGTTCCATCTATCTCTCTAGGTACGTGGATGCACTAGTGCTGAGAGGGCCCTGCTCTGGCCACACCCTTGTGACAATGGAGGTGAGCTTGGGGCAAAGGCTGAAGGGATGGGATGCGGTGAACGTTCAATTTACCAGACCTGCCCAAATTATGTGCAGGAATGTGTTCATTTAATCCATAATTAAAAATGCAAAGAAAATAAGTGTAAAAATACTGTTAAAATTTTAATGTAAAATTTAAATATGTAAATATATATTTGATATTTATATATTTAATAAATTACATTATAATCATAAAATTATATTTATATACTTTATAATATGTTTTTATATCATATTTATATAAATTATATATAAATATGGTATAAAAAGGAAGTAATATTTCAATGCTTGAAATGATTTATACCTTTTCCCAAAGCCTCCCAGATGTTCCCTTGGTACAATTTCTTCTTCTCTCACTCTGCGCACGAATAATCATTAAGGAGAAATGCTTTAGCGCTATTGCTCAGCACAGAACATTCTCCTGAGTCTGCCTTGTGTGGGCAGCGCCTGATGTGTGCTCAGAGGGCCTGGCCCACCCACCTCGCCCCGGTAGCCAGTGTTTATGAGGTGCTGGGGGACATGGATGTGCAAACAGGCTCAGCTAGCCAATGCACAGCATCTGTGTCACTGTTTAGAACACTTGGAGGTGAAGCTATTGCTCTCCCACGTGTCTGGGTAGGAAATGAGGAATCTGCCTCTGCTAACCCCCGACACAGACACTGACGTGGTTCTCAGGCACACGACAACAACGTGTGGGGTCCAGGGAGACATCTTCCCACAATGGGATGAGTGTGGTGACAAGATGCTGCTCCAGGAGTCAGAAGCCTGAGTTCACAGCAGGAACTGTTCACAGTAAAGACCCTGAGCCAGGCTCCAAGCCCCGGGCTCCCCATGGTCATGGGTGACGGGGCCCGCCATGGTGGTGGGTGGTGCTGGGGCTCCAGGGAGAACTGCCACCCTGGTTCCAAATGTGTTTGGACACCAGGTCCCAGTGGCCCCAGGCAACCTGGTTTATGTGCTGATACTCCTTGCAGGTGCCCTGGAAGGTCACGACCACTGAAAGGAACTAGCAATGGCTGTTTTTATGACATTTTTCCCAACATTAAACTGGAAAATACAATAATTTTCCAGCCCACAACAGGCTCACTGCCATCGTTGTGTGAACTTCAGCCAACTTTCAGCAAATTCAGCAAAGACATGTGTTTACTGGATTTAAAACCTGGATTCTTACGTAATGAAAATCCTCAGAGAATGAGAAAATGGCCTGAGGAAAACAGATACTTACTGAAAGTTATGATTTGGGCTGTGTGTTGGACCTAAAAAGAAAAAAGGACATGTTATTAGTATTTCATGATTTGGAATCAAACTTTTTCCAATGCAGCCAATAGTGAAGGTAGCCACAGCCCAGGATGGTCATTTGTGGTGAGCTGTTCTTGGCCAGGCTCTGGTCCTGCCCAGGACGCTGTGCCAGGGGCAGGGAGACCACAAAACATGGAGGGGCACTCTGTCCATGCAGAAATGTCTGGACATACTTCTGAAGTTTTTGCTGTCTTTCTCTCTCTCTCTTCTCATCTAAGGTTGACTCCAAGATCTGTTTTACTCATCAGTGACAGAATGGTCTTGAGGTTGGTGTGACAGGCTGGGGCACTGCAGGGGACCTTCTCACAACTGGGATGAAAGGGAACACATTCCTTCCAGCCATTTAATTCAGTTGCCACCTGTGATAAGCACAGGAGTATGGGACTGTCATCACACTGGGCCAGGTTTGAGGGGGTGGGGGTATTGGGCCTGGGGTGGGGAAGCCTCCAAGGCAGTGTGTGGCAGCCTGCCTGCAAGGTGACTTGTGACACACAGCCTGCTGGCAGTGTGACCCCATAACACGCGCCTGCCGGCTGAATCTTGCAGCTCACCTTTGTGCCTGTGATTATGTCCTGCTCCAGGTTTACAGACCCTCCATCTGTGTCCCTGTTCTTTTATTATAGTGAATGGGGAACAGGCTAAGCCAGGGCCTCGTGCACAAATGGGAACGGCCCTGGGGAACAGCTTTATAGATTTCCTCCTGCTGACGTGTGTACGCTTAGTTTCAAACTGCAAATTAATCTCCCCTTTGGTGGCTGGGAAGCTCTGAGTTGCAAACTGACAGGCCCACACTGTCCCCACTTACCGAGCCGCACAAACAGGACGCCGGTGGCAGTAATGGTCTTCATCCCGTTGGTGGCCACACACTGGTAGTAGCCGGTGTCTGTCGTGTCCAGGTCTTGGATCCGTAGCCGAGAGCCATACTCTGTCTTCCGGATGATGACCCGCCGGGGCTCCTGCACCACCGGGGCATCATTCTTCAGCCACCGCACGCTGGGGGGCGGGTTGCCGGCCACCTTGCAGTGCAGAATTGCAGTCTGCCCTTGGACTATGGTGATGTTGTTCACTGGCTCCAGAAAGTTCAGGAAGTAACCTACAAAGGAAGTGTCACAAAAGAGCAGACTTTAGCAAGGGCTGGAGGCAAGGGCTGGCTGGGCTCTTGCAAGGCGCTGCCTCGGGAAGGCTTCAATTTCTCTCACAAACATGCTGTCCACTCTCATTACCATACACCATGGCGGTAAAGGTGTTTTAGAATGTTGCCATGAACACTGCATTAGGGACTATGGAAGCAGTGCTGTGGCTGAGCCTCTCATCAAAGCATTTTCATTAAACTAACAATGCATAACCTTGTTTTATGTGTGTTTCTGTTTAAAGACACCTTATTTAACATACACATATTGTTGAGTCAATAACACTGAGCTCATGGCCAGCAGCGCTGTAACCCACGCCTGAAAGAGGTTAATCTAGCACACATGTTTTCTCCATAAGGCACGTCATAGCTTCTTCACTTAGGACACCAGACAGCACTTCAATACCATTATTAGGGGCATTTTAAGCAGTGAAATCACCAACAAAAATGTTAAAAAACATGGGATGATAGACCACGAAAAGGACACATTTACGGTGTGAGCTGAAACAATGAGTCAGAGCGTTGCCTCCTTCAGCCTCAGCTGGGAACGTGAGCAGCAGGCAATTCAAACTTTCTCTGCTCTGGGCACATCTGTGAATGACCACAAAAGCACGTGAGTGAGTACTGATCTGGGGTTACAAACACACTTTAGGCAGCAGATGAAAACGGAATCTGGAAATGAGGACTGGCTGTACTTCTCTTTTCTCCAAACCTAATCTAATCTCACTAATTAATTATGTAAATTTATGCTCAGAAAATGCATGCTCCTCCTGCCACACCAGAGACGTCCTCAGACACAAGCCAATCCCTGGCTTGAACAGAACAAAAATGACAAGGCTGAGTGTTGCTGAAAGCTCTGTCCCACGGCACCCACGTCAGGGGCAGGAAGACGCCACCTGGGATTCACACTCTGCAGGGAAAACAGGTCTAAAACCACCCAGAATACAGAGCAGGCAGGGCTGGAAACACTGCCCTGGAAGGGGGACCCCAGTTCAACCTGGGGCAGGAGCGCTCAGCTGGTGAAATAGGCAGTGGGAAAAAGAGGAACTGGAACAGCCAGTGGAGAAAGGTGTTTGTGTGTGCGGGTGTGTCTAGTGTGTGTGGTATGTGGTGTGTGTGTGTGTGTGTGTGTGTGTGTGTGGTATGTGCATGGTACATGTTTGTGGAATGTTTTGTGTGTGTGTGGTGCGGTGTGTGTGTGTGATGTGTGCATGTGTGATGCAGGTTGGGGCTGGGGTTTACTCTCTCTTAAGGTAAACATGCATGCTAAAATTACATCACACACAAATAAGGCAAGGCAGATAGGACAATCAATCATCAGGAGATGAACTCACTTCAGACAAGACAGTGAAATCTGAAAACGACTATAAAATACATTCGTGTTCTGAATCTTTTGGCTTGATTTCTGGTTGGCCTCTATGCTTAAAAAAAATAAATAAAGTTGAAAGATTGAAAGATGGCATATCTCTGTTATTACTGATTTAACCGGATGGAAAATTACAGGATTTCTAGTGGACCCTGGGGATAAGTTTCGCAGGATGGGTGCTGGCCCCTAGACATCAGGTGGTAGGTGGTAGCTGAGGGGATGAGAGGCTGTGGGTTTCAAGATGAAGGGACGGTTTTCCCTCACAAGGGAGAGTGGATAGCTATCTGTCTGGAAAGGTGTCACCAATTCAAACTGATTATTATTAATAATATCATTAAGTTCTACCTTGCTTGTCTGCTAGGCAGCCCTCTTCTCAATGCACTGAATTAAGTTGTAGAAGAGAATCCTTAGGGATGACACAAAGCTGGAAGGTAACTTAAGTATCAATGACAACCCCCTGAAAAGATGGGCTGGATCAAGCAGGGTGAGATTCCAGATATCATTCTGGGTGACGTTAAAGATGTTAATTCTTCATTAACTCAACAGTACCAGCTCAACTTGGGGAGACCAGCATTCCTGAGGTTCCTGCACCAGACCCTGCATCTTTGAACACAAAATCAAGTCTTATTTGACAATCTGCTGCCATCTGAGCTGCCTAAATTATGGTGAGCACCATTGCTTCACTGTGCTCTGGCCAGGGCCCATCTTAATCAGAGGGTTTCATATGAAGCACGTTCAAGTTGCTTCATAGTCAAACACTTCATTAAGGTCTTCATAACATTAAATGCACAGTAGGGCACATAAAATAGCCATCAATTTGTAATTTAACATAGCAAATGACATATTAAAGTCACAACAATCTCCTCCTCTTGGCATAAGTTCAATTATAACTCTCATCTCTACACTGGTGACAAACCATGGTTTCCCAGCAGCCACAGCAACACTTTGCGTAAAGCTGGGGTGTGAATGTCTGTGTCTCTGAGCTGATTGTCAACAATCCAAAAGGAGCAGGCCCAGGAGTTCTGGGGGTCCAGGCACAGTGGTTGTGATGATTGTCAACTCATACAACTGGGGGCTAGCTCGAGTCATTCTGCTACCACATCCCTCCATTTTTAAGGCATTTGTGTACATCAACTTGGGACATTTCCATTGGTTGGTTAAATATCTTGAAAGATATAGCAGGATCTTTTTCTTCAACAGGAAAGAAACATTTGTCTAGAAAGGGAGGAAAGGGAGGGTTGTGGTCAGAGAAGACAGTTAAGGAGAACATTCTTTTTGTACAACTTAGAAGGAAGCCTGGGGAGAAACTGAGATTGTCCAATCCCCTACCATAAATGGACCCCAAGTATCTACTTCTTTGCAAGAATATCTCTTTTACATCGAATGGTATGGAAACATGGAATTCTTCTTCATTCCCATCAACAGCTTCTCCTACACACTTGATTAACAAGCTGACAACTGTTTAGATTTAGGCTTTCTGTTTCCCCCAAGAAGGCTCTTTTTTGGGAATTACAGACCAGATGAGCTCCTGCCTGCTCTGCCCTCTGCAGTGCAGAAAGCTTGGTGTCCACCCCTATTTGACACCATGAAACCATCTACTGGAGTCATAACAAGGCTTAATTCAGGGATGGTGCCAGTACTTTCCTTTTAGATGCTTCAGTAGTAACTGAAGTAGCATGGACTGAAGCAATCCACCTGGGCTGGAATCAAGCGCCTGACACAGTTGATTTAATCATCAAAGCACTCTTATGTTTCTAGGAAATAGCCAAAATGGCAAATCCATAGAGACAGAAAACAGATGAGTGGTTGTCAGAGGCTGGGGGAAGGGAGATTAGGGACTGACTCAGTGGGAATGGGGTCTCCCTTTGGTGGGATGAAATAAATGTAGTCCTGGGACCAGGAAATACCCTCTGAGGAGGATGGGCAAGGTCAGGCCAGGGGAACAAATCAGATAAAAGCAAGTGTTGGGGGGGCAGCGCGGGAATGTCAAGCAAAAGGGAGCAGGCTACTCTGTGGCAAGCGTCCTTCCCAGCTGGCTGACAACCAACAATTGCCTTAAGCTTTGCTGTGACTCTGGGGTAAGGCCCTCCCAATTCCGGGGAGCCTCAGGCGCCCTGTTTAAGCAGATCGCCTTACTCTCACTCACCCTAAAACCACACCTTCCTCAATTTACAGAAAACAAAGGAGAACCTAAGACCTAGTCCACATGTGGGGTTCTTACCAGCTCATCTCCATCCTATACCATCTAAACCAATGGGCTGCAATCTGCCTTCCCACTGGGGTCACCTGGGAGCATGTACAGAAGACCCACCTGAACCCACGGCAGTTACGTCTCAGACAGTGCCTGTGGCCTGGGCTGAGAACCCCACTCCTAAGGGCTGAAGAGAAAGGAAAGCTGTCGTTTCAGTGAACTAGACGTGGCCAAGAGTGAACTTAGAGCAGACCTGAAACAACACTGATAAAAGCATCCTGGGACTGGAAAGACTGTCCCTGACTGGCCAGCACCCGTATCTGAAAGGCTGTGGATGTAAGGGCATGCAGAACGCCTGTCCAGCTGGGAAGGCACTGGACGGGACCCCATGTCCCCATTGAGTCAGCCGCCTTCACGTTCTCTGGACGCACAGAGACCAAAACCACAGGTGGACACCATGATGACTTCATAAATTCATAGCCCCCTCCCTAGGTAGGTGAATAAAGAAAGCTAAGACGTCAGGAAGAAAGTAGGAAGACAGATAATGGAGAAAAGCTAATTTATATCCCTGGTATCAATGCTTCCGTAATTTTCTCTACCCTTCCCACACTCTCCCCCACTGAAGGGGGAGGGGTGTCCCTTGCTCTTCCTAAAACACACCCAGCTTGTCCCTCGTTGTGCTTGGTCGAGAACACCCTGTCCTCAGATCTTTGCTATTCTCAAGGTGCAAGTCTCTGCCTCAGAGGGTGTACCCTGGCTGCCCCACCTAAAACAACCTCCACATACTTCTCATCTTGCTCCGCACCCCATTGATCTTGGCCGGTTGCTATGGCAATGTCACCGTTTGTTCAATTATGATGACGAAAATACATTTAGACATCAAGAATAACAAATGCTACTTTTGGGGCTAGTTTCTCAAATTCAGTTTAGAATCATCATGATAAGTTCCATGTAAAAACTGGTGTGTTGATGGAGAAAGAACTGCTATTATTTGTATAAAACTACTCTCTTGACAATGCTGAGAACGTAAGATCTGTGTCACTACTGCAGACCTCATCTATTAACAAGTGTTATCACTTTCTTCATACAGATTTTCCATTTATTTTCAGGCAGTTTTCGAGATACTCTGTAATTTTCCTTACTATTGCATGACTGTTTTATTTTTATTATTTCCATATAAGTGGCTTAAGACTTATAGGGAAACAATAAGATGTTTATATATTGTACTAATTTCTTGCTGTTGCTGTAACAAATTAGCACAAATATAGCATAAAACAACACAAATTTACTGTCTTGCTGCTCTGGAGTCAGAAGTCCTAAAATGCAGGTGTCATGAGGCTGCCTTCCTTCAGGAGGCTGCAGGGGTTTGTCCCCTTGCCATTCTTGGCTTCCAAGGGCCACCGCACA